AAAGACTGGTTCGCCAAGCGCAAGAAGTTCAAGCGGCCGCCGCAGCGGCTCTTCGACGCCGAGAAGATCCGGTGCGCGCCCCGGCACCCGCTGTGTTCCCCCGTGTCCCCCGTGTGTCCCCCGTGTCCCCCCGGGACTCCCTGGAACCCCCAAGTCCCTCTGTGTCCCCCCCGGGTCCCCTCTCGTCCCCAGGTGCCCTTGCATCCCCTCGCGTCACCCCAGGACCCCGCAGGACCCTTTGGGTCCCCCCACATCCCTTTGTGTCCCCCAGGGACTCTCCGTGTCCCTCTGTGTCCTCTTGGGTCCCCCCAGGACCCCCATGGCCCCCACATCCCCCTGAGTCCTCCTGTGTCCCCCCCAGTGTCCCCAGGGCTCGTGGGACCGTGTCCCCCCCGTGTCCTCCCGTGTCCCCCTGTGTCCCCAGTGGCTCCTGGGACTGTCCCCCCAGTGTCCCCCTTCCTGCTCCCCACATCCCCTGTGTCCCCAGGGCTCGTGGGACCGTGTCCCCCACGTGTCCTCCCGTTTCCCCACCTGTGTCCCCAGTGGGTCCTGTGGGCCATGTCCCCCCATGTCCCCCCCATGTCTCCCCGTGTCCCCCCCATGTCCCCCCGTGTCCCCGGAGGCTGGGGGGGGTGACTGGCCGTGGGTCCCTGCAGGTCCCTGGGGGGCGACGTGGCCTCCGACGGCGACTTCCTCATCTTCGAGGGCAACCGCTACAGCCGCAAGGGCTTCCTGTTCAAGAGCTTTGCCATGTCGGCCGTGGTGAGCACCGGGAATGCCGGGAGTGTTGGGAATGCTGGGAGCGCCGCCTCTCCGCCCTGCCGCCCCCTCCCTGAACGCTGCCCCCCTCCCCACCCTGGGTGGCTCCCGGTGTCCCCCCGGCTCCCGGTGTCCCCCCGGCTCCCGGTGTCCCCCGGCTCCTGGTGTCCTCATACGGGTGGCTCCTGATCTCCCTCTGGTTCCCGGTGTCCGCGCACGGGTGCCCCGGCCGCGTGCCGGCACCAACGGGCGCTGCTGCGGGCGCTGTGCGGCCGGCAGATCACGGAGGGGGTGAAACCCACCCTGTCGGAGCTGGAGAAGTTCGAGGACCAGCCTGAGGGCATCGACCTGGAGGTGGTGACAGAGGGCACAGGTGAGTGACGGCGGTGGCACCCCGACACCGTCACCGTGACGCTGCCATGACACCGTCACCGTGACGCCATGGTGCTGTCACCCCACAGGCAAGGAGCGGGAGCACAACCTGCAGCCGGGTGACAACGTGGAGGTGTGCGAGGGCGAGCTCATCAACCTGCAGGGCAAGATCCTCAGCGTGGACGGCAACAAAGTCACCATCATGCCCAAGCACGAGGACCTCAAGGTGGGGACACGGTGGCCGGGGACTGGGGGAGGTGGCAGGCGCTGCGGGCCCCCCCTGTGTGACCCGACTGCTCTTCCTCCTCCTCCTCCTCGTCCTCCTCGGGCAGGACATGCTGGAGTTCCCAGCGCAGGAGCTGCGCAAGTACTTCAGGATGGGCGACCACGTCAAGGTGATCGCGGGGCGCTTCGAGGGCGACACGGGGCTCATCGTGCGCGTCGAGGACAACTTCGTCATCCTCTTCTCCGACCTCACCATGCACGAGGTGGGCGGCCGTCCCCGCGCGCGCCCGCGTGGTGCCTGTCACCCGCTGACGCTGTCCCCGCTGGGTCCCCAGCTCAAGGTGCTGCCGCGGGACCTGCAGCTCTGCTCGGAGACGGCGTCCGGCGTGGACGTGGGTGGCCAGCACGAGTGGGGCGAGTTGGTGCAGCTGGACCCGCAGACCGTGGGCGTCATTGTGCGCCTGGAGCGCGAGACCTTCCAGGTGGGGGGACGCGGGGACACGCGAGGGTGACGCGGGGTGACGGGTGCCCACGGCGTCACCCTGCGCCCTCGCCAGGTGCTCAACATGTACGGGAAGGTGGTGACCGTGCGGCACCAGGCTGTCACCCGCAAAAAGGACAACCGCTTCGCCGTGGCCCTCGACTCGGAGCAGAACAACATCCACGTCAAGGACATCGTCAAAGTCATCGATGGGCCCCACTCGGTGGGTGACGCCAGCGGGGGCGGCGCCCCGGGCGGTTGTCACCGAGCCCGGGGACACGGTCGGAGACGTGCCGGATCCGGCTGCCTCTGGCACAACCATCTCGGGAGGCCCTGGTGCTGTCCAGGGGGTGGCTTTGTTGGCACACGGGCTCTGGGGACACTCGGGGCTGAGGCCACCGACCCCAGGGACACGCGAGACTGAGGCCACCAGCCCCGGGGACACCCAGGACCGAGACCACCAGCCCCGGGGACACATGGGGCTGATGCCACCGGCCCTGGGGACCCTCGTGAGCGAGTCCACCGTGCTCGGCAGGGCCGGGAGGGCGAGATCCGGCACCTCTTCCGCGGCTTCGCCTTCCTGCACTGCAAGAAGCTGGTGGAGAACGGCGGCATGTTCGTCTGCAAGACCCGCCACCTCGTCCTGGCCGGTGGCTCCAAGGTCCCGGCTCTGCCTTTTGTCCGCTTTGTCCCTTTTGTCCCCTTTTTTGGGGATGGCGGCACCGTAACTGAGTGTCTCCGGCCCTGTCTTGCAGCCCCGGGACGTCACCAACTTCACGGTGGGTGGCTTCACCCCCATGAGCCCCCGCATCAGCAGCCCCATGCACCCCAGTGGGGCAGGTGAGTGACAACCCTGGGGACATCCCCGAGGCCCTTGGGGACATCTCTGAGGCCCTTGGGGACGTCCCGGAGGCCTCTGGGGATGTCCCTGAGGCCATCAGGGGTGTCCTTGAATCACTTGGGGTGTCCCAAAGGCCACGAGGATGTCCCCAAGCCCTTGAGGGTGTCCTTGAAGCCATCGGGGTGTCCCTATGGCCATGGGGGTGTCACCAAGGCATGGGGTGTCCTTGAAGCCATTGGGGGTGTCCCCAAGGCCATGGGGATGTCCCTGAGGCCATGGGGTGTCCTTGAAGCCATTGGGGGTGTCCCC